CCTGCGATTCTCTCCGGTGAGGGGCCTCCAACTCCCAGAATCCCCCAGCCAGCATGGCTGGCTGGGGAATTCTGGAAGTTGGAGTCCATACAGCGTAAAGTCGCTAAGGTTGAGAAACACTGCTCTACAGACAGAATGTGCATTTACTCACAGTGCCCTAAGCCATAATAATGTTTTTTCCCCCTCATTTTGGATTAGTGCATTGTATAAACCCAGCTAATGTGGCTTACAACATGTAGCTCCAGCCTTGCCTACAATGGAAACATTGATTGCAATGGAAATTTCTGCATAGAAGACAATCCTGGTTGCCTTGCTCTGGAACACCTTTCTTGCTTTTTTTTTTTATTATTATTTGGAAATAGACCACATGGAAGCCTTAAGCCCAGCTCACCCCAAAACACGTATCTGTTCACACATTCTTTGTTTCTCAGGTCCAATTCCCTTTGGTGGGACAATTGGGTGTAGAAGGACAAGGACTTGGAGCAAAGACAAGGACAAGGACTTTAGATCTACCCTTGGCTCCAAGGGTAGATCTAAAGGACTTTCCAAGATGTTTAAGCATCACTTTCCAAAACCCATCACTCAAATACATTTTTCAGAAAACATTCCTGGAGTTGTTTTTTTTAAAAAAAACCCCTTTTCTTGATTTAACATCATTGATGCACAAATGCAGTTACCCTCCCCTTGTTTCTGTTTTGATGGTCTCCTTTTCCATTCTGCTGCCAAGAAAACTATGTGAGTAGAGAGGCAAAGAGGACAACTGAACAGCAAACCGCCGGTGTCCAGTGTTCAACTTCCATAAGTTGGCTTTTAAATATATATATATAGTCTGGTAAACTTTGACAGGTCTGCAAAAAAAGCTAAGCAAGATGAGATTTGTTCAGTACTGGCTCTGATATGATGGAATATGACAAATGTATTAGTTATCAGATTTATATCCCGCCTTTATTTATTATTTTTTTTACAACTCAAGGTGGTACACACAATGTTCCTTCCTCCTATTTTCTCCGCCAAAACAACCCTGTGAGGCGGACTGAGCTGGAAGAGAGCGACCGGCTCATCATCTTTGTTTTGGCCATTGATTTAGCACAAAATTGCCACCTCTGGGTGGCCCACTCATCAACAAGACCGCAAAGTTAAAAGAAATTTCCAGAGTAAGGCATCATGAGCTTCACTTGAAGGAGTCTTATCGTTTGGCCCCGTTTCAAGCATCTGACTGATTTCCCACTCCACACACACTCCTCTTTCTTATTTCCAATTATAAAAAACACAAGAGATAAGATCACTGTACTCTGCAGGTCACAATGAATCACTGGAATAACAAGAATCAAACATCGGGCCTTGTTTTATTAATGGTTCTCTCAGCAGCTGCTTTCAAATCTAGTTCCGGTACTCAAAATTACACAATACAGGTAGGTCTTGATTAGTGCGGTTAATGAATCCCACCAAATGGTTGCATTATTTGAATTTGCACTATTGGAAGTGGTACTTCTGTGGAAATATTGCTTCCAGCTTGATGGAAATATGCAATTAAAATGTTTTTATTTATTAATGAAAGAAGATAAACTCATACTCAAAGTGTACCTGCTCTCTCCTGCATTCTGCTGTAATTCTTCAAAATAAGCCTCTTCCTTTTTGAGCTATCCCCAAACGGAACCTTTTTTCCATTTTGCACAAACGACAATTGGCGTCTAAAACCCCGATGGCAACTCTGCACGCGCTAGCCTCAACTGCCCGCACCCTAGCCTCGCACTAATTGAATTTTGGCTTGCATTAAACACAACCCGGTATCAGTTTATAATTTGCATTAAATTGAATATCATACTATCCAAACTCGCACTAATCGCGACCTACCTGTATAAGCTGCGACCTGACCTGTTAGTGGCAGGAATTAACATCTTCTACAAAATTCTACAACATCCACCTCCACATTGGTTAGTGACCGCTCTGAGAATCTTGCAATACAATGCAAAAATATTTGCTTTCCCGAGCAATGGTCGAAAAGTGCCCTCTCTCTGACTTGACTTTGTCACATGGTGCCACCTCATCAATTATCTGATTGGCTGCCATGGTCAGGCCGGATTAGCTGGGACCCTTTCAGCAGGCGGTCCTTGCGTTTAAGAAAAGGGCACCAAAGCAGCAAATGGCAGCAAAGACGACGTGACAAAGAATGAGGGGCCAGGCAGGTTCAAGAAGGTTCTCCGCTTGCGAGAGAAAGTCCTAGAAAGGGGCATTTGCAAGGGACTCAAGAAAGTCAAGGTGGAGGCTGCAACCAAGTGATCCAAGCCCCTCCCCTTTTTATGTGTGGGGCTTGTAAAAAAGAGGTGGGGCTCCTATTCCATGCTATAAGGTTGCAGCGGCCATCTTGACTTTTTTGACTTCTCCTGCAGATGCTGCTGAGCGTAGCTCGAATTTCAGGAAATGAAGTTTGCAATTCTCGGGCAGGAATTGCCAACTCAGCACAGCCCAAAGACTGAGGCTCACGTTAAAGAAAGGCCCGAAGAAACCACACAACCACACAACCGCCATCTATTTATTACAAAGGAACCACACATAGTAATTCATGAAAATCACAACGTTTGGCGAGTGTAATCTAGTTCAATTCACCTCGACTTTACCGCCAACTTTGCTGAGCAAGCTCCCAATCCCCATCTGGATTGGAGTGGGAAAAGTTATGGCTTCTCTTGTAGCTCAGTTTTCTGGTTCTCTTTCCCATGCATAAGAAGAACAGATCAGTTCCTAAGGTTATTTATTTTTTCTACTCTCCTCTGGATTCCAGTTAGGTTTTAGAGAGATCTGGTTCGTGGCAGCAGACAAAATTTGTCTAGTCTGGGTGGGATCCTTGATGCTCACACACACAACAGACCTGCTAGTAAATACACACTCACCCGCCAGCCTGGGACAACACCTACGGTTACGCTTTTAGGACCTCCCCATCTTTGTGGGTCCGTTTATGGACCACCAGGTGTGCGCTGCAGGTAAAACACCTGCCACAAATCACGCAGGAATAGGGTTTCTCCCCTGTGTGGATTCTCTGGTGCTGCAAGAGGTGTGCGCTCTGGCTGAAACTCTTCCCACAGGTGACACACTTATAGGGTTTCTCGCCCGTGTGGGTCCGCTCATGCTTCACCACATCTGAGCTGGTGGTGAAGCTTTTCCCACACAGGGAGCATTTGTACGGTTTCTCCCCCGTGTGGATTCTTTTGTGCTTCACAAGATCTGAGCTGGAGCGAAAGCTTTTCCCGCAGGCTGGGCATTTGCAGGGTTTCTCCCCCGTGTGAGTCCTCTCGTGCTGAGTGAGGATCATACTCTGACTGAAGCTCTTCCCGCAGTACGAGCATTTATAAGGTCTCTCCCCTGTATGGCTCCTCTGGTGTTTCACGAGTCCTGAATTGGAAGCAAAACTCTCCCCACAAGTGCGACAAGTATATGGCTTCTCGCCCGTGTGGGTTCTCTCGTGCTGGATCAGGTTCGAGCTGCGTTTGAAACTTTTCTCGCAGAGGGAGCAATTGTATGGTTTTTCTTCCGTGTGGGTCTTTTTGTGGTTGACAAAGTTTGAGCTGGTGGTGAAACGCTTCCCACACTCAGGACACTGATATGGCCTTTCCCCAGTGTGGGTCCTTTGATGAGTCATGAGGTGGGCGTTGGAGCAGAAGCTCTTCCCGCAGAGGAAGCACTTGTATGGCTTCTCTGCGGTGTGGAACCGTTCGTGAACGATCAGATAGGACCGTTGATTGAATCGCTTCTCACACACAGTGCACTTATAGGGCTTCTCTCCTGTGTGGATCCTCTCATGTTTCACGAGATCCGAGCTCTGGTGAAAGCTCCTCCCACAGTCAGAACACTTGTATGACTTCTCTCCTGAGCGGTTTCGTTTTTGATGGCTGATAAGGCTGGAGATGCTGCAGAAACTCTTCCCGCAATCAGAGCATATATAAGACGTCCCTTCGACCGAACTGCCTTCTTCCAGCACAGGGATAATACTTGGCAGACCCTCCGATCTGTGTGGAATCTCAGAGATTCCTTCTACTTTGTGGAAATCTGTAATGTCTGGGGCCGTGTCCAGCAATGAAGCGCATGGTTCCAGGTGCTCAGGATTTTTCAGGTCAACAGCTTCCTCATTTTCATCCATTTGTCCACTAGCAACTTACTTTGTTTAAAAAAAAAACAGAGAGAGAAAGATTAATAAGGTGATGCTCCAGGAGAATATCATCTGTCTGTCTGCCTGGTAATAGAGAAAGAGCGTGTTGCAGGTCCACACTCTGAGTGAGGCAGATGAGGTATGGACCATCAACTGCCTTCTTGGCAGTGGCCCCATTTTATGGAATTCTCTCCTCTGGAAGTAGAAATGCCCCCATTCTATTGTCACTTTAAAAACTAGGCAAAGCAGTGTTGTTCCTGCAGGAGGTGGGAATTGGCCCTTAGGTTCATTTAATCGAATGATCTCTGCGATGTCTTAGAGACTGACGACCTGTTATTTGTATCTAATTTTTAACATCTTGCTTTTTTCTTGATCATGCTCTTTCACAACGTCCACCCTCCGGAACTATAACAGACTGTGAGAATAACCTTGGGAGACAGGAGGAAGAGCCACAGTCTAGACAATAGTCTGATAAGAGAAATCTGAACCCAAAGGAAGGATTGGGGCGTGGAAAGTGTTTCAGAAGAGACCTTCCCTAGTTCTCTGGAAAGTAAAGGCAAGGGAGGGGAGAAATGTTTTCAGACTTCCAAGATCCTGTTACTGTAACCCAGTGTTTCTCAACCTTGGCCACGCTGGCTGGGGAATTCTGGGAGTTGAAGTCCACACATCTTAAAGTTGCCAAGGTTGAGAAACACTGCTGTAACCTTCAATAAAGATTGTGTTAGTACTCATGGTTTTGGTTTCTTGTCTGGTCTATCTTGAATGGCTGACAGGAACAGCATCCCGCAGAGACCCATACAGACCCCACCCTGCTGACATTCAGGAAATCACTGAAAACATGGCTGTTCTCCCAGGCTGTGGGGTAGAGTGGTAGTTGAGCCCCTGTAGGTTTTGTTGCCATACAGAGTTGGCCTTCTGGATGCTGATGACCTGTTTCTCTCTTTTTTTTTTTTATTGTTCTTACTTCTTTAATGTAAGGCTCATCTGAAGTCAGGCGGCCTCTATACTGCATTAAATAAATACATTTTTAAAAATTGTTGTGCCCCACCCAGAGCTCCATCTGGATGGGGGCAGGCTCTAAATGCCAATAAATGAATGAATGAATGAATGAATGAATGAATGAATGAATGAATGAATGAATGGATGA